AAAAAAGCAAAAGATGAATGCTTACGAATATACAAATTAAAATTGTAATCTTTAGTTTCTTTTCTTTTTTTCTCTTTTTTTTTTTGCAATTTGTAAATTGGATATATTTTTTAGGTTAAGATTTAAGATTTTTTTTTTAAGTTAAGATTAGTTATTTGAAATAAAATTGATTTAAGAATTCCAAATGTTTCAGATATGTATTTTGAAGGTGTAATAATTACCGCTAAATCTTTGAAAAAAAAGATGAAAAGTAAATTGGCTATATGGAAATCAAAAATTAAGTACATTAGAGGGATTATTCAAAGAAACTTTTTTCGAGGAGAGATCATGTAAATCTTTCTATATTAAATTAATCGATTAATTAATAAGTTAATTTATCAATAATTATTATTAATATATTTATTCGATTTTAATTTCAGTGTATTCCATCAATTTCCTCAAAGTTATTTCATATCCTTTTGATCTTTCCTTTCATTCATTTATCCATTCACATCGTACCAATCTTAACCTTTTAATCCTTCCACTCTCTAACCGCCTGACCTTTAACCCCCAATCATCCAATCTTCCTAGATGATTGTCATTTGTCTCGCTTTGATCATACAATCATCATCAATCCTTTTTTTTTCCTTTCCCCTGTGGTACCATCCTGTGGTACTTGGTACATCCAAGTACTACTAATCTCTCTCCCCCTCTTCCCTCAATAAAAAAAAAAAAGGAATTAATGAGGAAGATATATAGTGCAAGAAATTAAATTATCAATTACTGCTTGTTATTTATTCCATCAAAATATCTCACTACTATTACTTATTAATTCGATTACAAATTTCGAGTGAATATATAAAAGTATGTTCGAATTTGATTACGAATTTGGAATAATTTTGTTTTTAGATTTTAAATCCACATATAACTACTATAAAATATTTTAATATCATAGATATATCGATACAATTGATGCTACAAATAAATATCGATGATATCAAAAAAATACGGAAAGTTTTATGTCGATTGTTTTTTTTTTTCTCAATAATCTTTAATGATATCTGGGAATAAGCGGGGGAAGAGGAGATGAGATGGGAATGGGCGGGGGAAGAGAAGGTGAGGTGGGAATAAGCGGGGGAAGAGAAGGTGACGTGGGGATGAGCGGGCGAAGAGGAGATGAGATAGGAATGGCGGAAATTCATGATAGATTATAAAATTTCATTGAATTGAAATAGAAATATGGGTGGGTGTAAATTAAAAAACATGAAAAAGATTTCATCTTTTCTTTATTTGATCTATTTTGGATATCACACAACAAACATTCTATTAAATTGAGATTAATCTATTTTGATTAATACTTTATGGAATATAATTTGTTTATAGCTATAAATGATAATATTCATAACAATGATGATGATAATAATGATAATAAAAGTGATAATAATAGTAGTGATGATAATAATGATAATGATGACAGCAGTAATTATAATTAAAAGATAGTATCTTGATAATAATGAAAACAACTAATCTTTGCTCCTTAATTAATTACTTTTATTCATTTTATCACGAGCTATCACTTTCTTTTTTCTTTATTTCATTCATTTATTTTCATTATATCAGTTTAATTACCAAAGTTTGAGACATTACCATCCAAGGGTTACTTGAGTACATCGGAATAACAGGAAGTACCAATAATGACAAGGTGTCAACCATGTAAATGGATGTCAACCATGTTGATGAATAAAGGATGATGACTGTCGAAGTCTTCTTATATGATATTTCTTTCAAGAAATTGCGCAAATTGTAAAGGAGAAATCTCTTAATTCCTTCTAAAATATCGAAGAAGGATATATTAAGATTTTGGATGTATTGATTTGAATATTCTGTTGAGCTTAAGCTGAAAGTATTGTCAATGCAAATTGAATGTTAATCAATTCCAGAGGAATGTTATCAGTTGATTACTGATGTTCCTCTATGCTTATTATTATCAATTAAAAGATTGGGATATTTCGATGATTTGCAAGTTGTTAAATCAAATATTTACATTTTTCAATTCATTACAACATTTTCATCTAAGAATATCTCTTTTAACAAATATGATTTTTTCTTTTTTTTTAATGAAATTATTTTTCCAATAATTTTTTGAAATATTTTTATTTTGTTTCATTCTTTTTTCTAATTAAATGATTAATTTTTTTAAAATTCCGTTTTCTATCATTTTCATTTAAGCATTTATTAGACGCTATTAGTCCATCAATTAATTCATTTTTCATTTCTTTTTTTTTACTTTTACATTTAATACATTATTAATTTCAATTCGGTCATTACTTTTTGCTTTTTTTTTTCGCTTTAACTCATTGATAATTGATTTTATTATCACTGTTAAGCTCTTTACTTTATTTCTTGTTTTTTTTTTTTTGTAAACTATTTCTTTTATATGAAATAAACTTAATAGATTAATCACTTCATGTATATTAGTAAATGAATATAATAAGTATGCAAAAAGTTTACTCTTGAGTTGAAAAGTTTGTTGAAAAGTCTTATCGTCTTTAGTGGCATTACAAGCTTGCTTATGATTCATCTCCTTTTAAATGAATTCAATTTTTGTGAAATTTTTGTAACAACTTTTGATTGCTATGCAATGTAAAAACAAAAAAAAAAATGCCATTTCATCATCTTATTTTGCATCGTTTGAAAAAAAAAAAAAATGTTTTAATGGACTATTAAGCATAATATCGAATTATTAAATATGATATCAAGTATTTGAGTATAATATCGATCAAATACAATATCAAGTACATGAGCATGATACCCAGGTATTAAGTATATCAGGTATTTAAGTACGATGTCAAAGTACTGACATCGAGTATTGAAGGACGATATTAAAATATTAAGTACGATCAAGTATCGAGTACAGTATCAAAGTATTACGTACGATAACAAGTATTCAAGTACACTATCGAAGTATTAACTAGTAGGATTAAATATCAAATATCAGGTGTAATATTGTACATAAGGTATGTAATATCAGCATATTGTACAGTTAGAAAAAGTTGACATTTCTTATCAAGTTACATTTTTCCTCTTCCCCGTTTATAATCAAAAAAGAAATTCGAATATTATCATTTTTCACTTAGTTATGTCTCTTTTTGTCATATCGGAATAATTCCAGAAGAATTTCACCGGAATACTTCCGGAAGAGTTTCACATTCAATCCAGTTTAATCTTTTCTTTTTTTTCTTTCTTCATTTAATGAATCACTTATAATAGTTACGGTTTTCGGATACAATCAACAAACATAATCATTCAATGATATCAGGTTATCACAATATTGTTGTAACTGATATTTTTCATTTCATATTTTATATATAATTTGATCAATTTTCAAATTATACCATTAAAAATTATGCAATCACATGAAATTTCATCAGATAATGTCATCTCTTTGCTCTTAAATTGTGATAATTATCGATAATGAAATTTTCACTCGTCAACTTCAAAAATTTTGTTTTTAAAGCATTTATTTTTCCTAAAATATGATAATTACCCATCATCACCTGATTACTTCATTCTATTCATCGATTTTACCTATCACTTGATCAATTCATCATCGCACCTGATCAATTCATTAATTCCGATCGAATCGATCCATCAAATTCATCCATTCTTCAATCAATAATCCATTTGATTCATCATTGATCGAATCGATCTATCAAATTCATCCATTCTTCAATCAATAATCCATTTGATTCATCATTGATCGAATCGATCCATCAAATTCATCCATTCTTCAATCAATAATCCATTTGATTCATCATTG